CCTAAGAAATGGGAAGAAGAGTGTCTTATTAAATGATGCTTGGGCCTCAAAGTTAAGAGCAGGCACTTTGAGTTTTGCAGAGCTGGCTGAAGTTCTAGCTCTGCCCCTCTAGTTGGAGACCTCGGACAAAGCATTTTACCTCTTAGTTTTCTCATATGTACAATGGGGATTGTAGTAGCACCTATTTTATGTAAATATTAAACAAAAGTAATATTTATGTCTAGCACAATGCCTGGCTCATAAACATTCAAATGTCTCTCATTGAAATATTTGGGAATTGAAATGTTCTCTGTTGTGCATTTAAAGCACTCAAATTCAAAACCTTGTTTTTAGTTGGATTTAATATGTATGCTCATGGATTCAAAGAGAAAATAGCATTTATTGAAGAATGAGTGAGGAAACTTGAAACGGATGCTGCACCGTTTGGACAACATGCAGCACACTCAAAACTGTTGCTGCCCTGGCAATGGACTGTAAAGATAATCTATCTAATGGGTTCTATACACATTACAGATCAGAATAATATATTGATTCTGACTTTTAATGACCAGACCTTATATGCAAGTTAAAGACAATCTTATGGAATATTTTATATGTGAACCAGGCTTCTACTGAATTGAAAACTTCTTCGTATATTCTATTTCAAGGAAAGGCTAATTCAATTATGCTTGATTATTTTCTTTATAGTTTATGTAGAAAAGATTTCTCTCTGGGGGGAAAAGAAGCAAAGGCACATATCAGTGGGAAACATCAAAATAGCTGAGCAAAATTAAATGGTAAATGGAATTAGTTATAAAAGTCAGCAAATTATTCTGTTTATATCAATTATTTGCCTGTGTGATAGGCTCTTCTTGTGACATCATTACCTACTAGTGAGTGCTTATCTGGTGTGGTTTAGTTTCTTGAGCCATAAAAGTCTTTGTTTTAACAAGTCTTTAAGTGTTAAATGATTAAGCATACTTCAGATCCAATTTGAAAATAAATATAGCCTTATAAGGTCTTGATGTCTGTTTAGCTTATATAATTGATATATATTTATGAAAAGTCTTAACACTGGTTTTGTTAGCAAGAATAGACCAGAGAAAATAGTGCTGGTTAATAACTTATATGTTAAAAAAGAAAAGGAAAGGAAAGGAAAAGCTTTGAGAAGCAACTGAGCATTGCAAGCATAATGGAATTTTCTTTTATGTATGGGAGAAGGAGCTGACATGAATACAGGAAAGAGGGATTATGTATTTTTGCCTAAATTATCAGGATAATTAAGTTAGTCCTTTATTTCTCATTGCTATAGAAGATGATGCAATGAGTCACCAAACTACTTTAATAATTCCAATTCTGATGGTTAGGACAAACTTACTTGCCCGCTCAGCTGTAGCAGAAATATTCATTGAGTTATGATGTTGGCCTGTGAGACCATCCATGTATACTGAGGACTTGGCTTAGACATAATGCAATTATAAGTCAACTGAAACTTTCCCTATTAACTTTAAAGAAATACATTAGCAAGTTATTTTTCTTGATCAAATTAGTAGAAACCAGACTTGTTCCCAGAAGTGAATGGAAAATAAACAAATATATTCACTGGCACCATTCTTCTCTTGAACCCTTCACAAGACTTTTCTATGAGGTTAGCCAAGCAGAACAACACAGAACCAACAAAAAGTAGGAGAAGGTGGGGGGGGGGGGGACAGAATTAAGCCAGGGCCTGGGGCTTACGCAGTTGATATGCTGGGCTTCTGTCAATTTAGATACTATGAGCTTGGCTTTGTCTCCTTAAAGCACTTATAAACAGAAACTTAGAGAAAGAGCCTGGCGAGCTGATACAGTTGGTAACTGTATTGGGAGCACCTTCTGATGCTTCCAGTGGCTTTTCTGCCTTCCTGGACAGTACAACCTGTGGGAAGCAAATATTGCCCCCCCTCCCCCCTCCAGAGATGCTGTACAGGCCACAACTGCAGGGATTTTGACTCTGAATTCAGTAGTGATAAATATCTAAAATATTAAAATGTCTCTCTGAAACATATAATGTCTCCAGCTGGGTAATGAAGAATAAAACAACCTGCTATTAAGTTACACTGATATGGAAAAAATGTTATTTGTAGTCTTGTTTTGAGGACTTTCTTGATGCTCACCCTAATCAGAACACAGATGTCTTCTATCCTTAAAGGTTATAGAAACAAAGATATACAAAGATATAGATTTTGGGTAGACTTAAAAAAAAAAAAAGTCATGTTGCTGCCATACCCATAAAATTTCTTGGATGATACCATATCTTGATACTTGATGTATAAATTAGGGAGAGGTGTTAATGGAGAGGCAGGTGTGCATATAGAGAGATGGATAAAAATAGCTGGTGGTGGTATTCTAAAAAATTGAAGTTAAAAAATAATAGATGCATTGCATTAAAATATTCTTATTGTTACAAATGCATGATTTATAGCTTGAATTGTTAGACTATGTTGGTTTATTTAAGTAAAATTCAAGGAAAATTGCCTTATATACCTTTCAGTCATTCTTTTACTATAACTATAATAAAAACAACTGCTTCTTAATAGGTACATCTACTATGCATCTTGCTAGAAATTTCCAATTATGATTTTCCCAGTAGCAAACAAAAACAAAATTAATGGCAGCCGCATCCCCCAAAGCATAAACTATATTACTAATGAACTCTCAAAGAGAACTCTCAGTGCAAAAAATGAGCAGGTGAAAATTACTGTAATAATCCAAATGTAGAAATAAAAGCAAGCATTACTAAAATGCAGAGAACAGTTTTTCTACCATGATCCCATTAACTTAAAATAGCCTGTGCACTGTGGTATTTGGACATTACTGAGATCCTTTAACTACACAAAATTCATGTATATTTTTTAACTGAATTCTTTAATTAAAGTTGGATTATATTGAATAGAAATTACTTTGTATCTAACGCATATTTTATCTAGCTACTTTGTGTTGACGAAAGTGCTTGGTTACATTAAAATGGGAAATTGTGATGACATACATGGTGATTTTAACCTAGAGTAAATCACAGGCACACGGGTTTTGCATTATGAAAATAGGCTCTGTGATCCTTTTTCTTCACTTTATAGCTCTTCCAAATACTGATTTTAGTCCTTAAGGCCATGCCAGTAGGCAGATCCCACAGGATGCTAGGATAGGAAATAGTGATTTAGTAGGAGGTAGTGTTAATTACTGCAGACTGACAAAATGCCTCAATTTGTGTTTGTAAAAAGCTGGAAGGCTTGAATATAAGATGCAAAATGGCTTTCTTCTAGTTGCTGTTAATCCTTAAAACTAAAAACTACCAAAACCAGCAGCTCTGGTGTCTGAGAGACAGGGGTCCAGCTACAGACTTTTCATATTCTGGACAACTTATCATCCAATTGGCCTCCATTTCCTTGTCTGTGAAATGGGAGTTAAAGAAGCGCCTGATAGAGTTGTAAGGACAATTTAATGATAGAATAAATGAAGAGTCTTTCAAATGCCTGGAATATACAAACAAACATATTCCTCTACCTTTATCCATATGCATATTTTCTATTTTCTTTGTACCTTAAATGCTGAGACAGAAATAAAAATTGAATAAACAGCCTATGATCCAATTAGGGCAATTAGTTCATCAGGCAATTAGATATATAATTAATAAATAGGGCTGAGAGCCATAGTACTAAGTACTGATAATAATTAATATTTATTGAAGAGTTAAATTTTGTGCCAGGCACTATGTTAAATGTTCTTTAAAATATTTAACTTCCAACACAATTCTATGATTTAGACCTCCTCTTTCTCCTCCTTCCTATTTTACAGATGAAATACTGAAGTTTTAAAAGACCAACACGCGTCTGACACTAACACTTGGTCTGTGTAACTCCTAACTCAGAGTTCTCTCCGTTAGTAATGCTTTGGTTGGAATCAGTAAATAAATATTGGTTTCTGTGATTATTTTGATTATTATAGATATCACTCACTACTTCTAATTTTTTTATAAGCTAATGAGCCTAATAGCCACATTTTAAATAAGCATTTATAAGTAGTAAAATCAATTCTCTGGCTGTTTATTTAAAACAAAACCCATTTGCTTAGCTTAGAATTGAAGAGCCCTTACAATTTGGCCTGTCCTCTCAGTCATTCTTATTTCTAGTGCCATCCGAGTGAGAAGACTTGAATGATGAGATGCGTCTCTTGTCTTCAGTGTGCTTGTGGCATCAACCCACTCATGGGGGACACGGCCAGGAAGCACTGTCCGTATCACTCCTCCCAGAAATACATATCTGGGTCTTGCCCTGGCTGGGTAATTCAGTTGGTTGGAGTGTTGTCCCATTCAGCAAAAAGTGTTGGGTTCAATTCCCAGTCAGGACACATACCTAGGTTTCAGATTTGATCCCCAATCAGGTGTGTAGGAGAGGCAGGCGATCTCTCTCTCTCTCTCTCTCTCTCTCTATCTCTATCTCTCTATCTTTCTCTCTCTCCCCCTGTCCCTCCTTTCCTCTCTCTCTAAAATCAATAAAAATATATTCTTGAGTGAGGATTTTAAAAATCTTGCTTTTCTCCTGAGCCCTTTGTGACATTTTTCTTGGTTGGTGAAGACGAGCCGCAGTTTGCTGACCACTGTCCTAACCCGACTGGGAAATGCACAGCACACCCAAGCACATGTGCTTCACTTGACCCCCAGACCCTGGCACTCTCTAGGGGATGCACACAGTGGCATGTACAGAGAGCTAAGGTGATGAAAGAAACGTGTTTCTGGAGCATGCCACATCAGCAGCTCCTGGGTGGCTTTTCTTTAACTAAGTGACTCACTCACTAGGTTGACGAATCTGGCAGAGACTTTACCTGTGTTCAGAGACAGGAATGAAATAACACGACGGTAACTCATTGACGTTGGTTTGAATTCTGGTTTTCTCACCAGCCGGCTTATCTGTTTTCCCTGTCAGGAGTCCCTGCTGCCAGCCTCTTTCTCAGTCGTTCGGAGTTTGGCGTAACTGAAGACGGAGGGTATGAAGTCGATCCTAGATGGCCTTGCAGACACCACCTTCCGCACCATCACCACGGACCTCCTCTACGTGGGCTCGAATGACATTCAGTACGAAGACATCAAAGGCGACATGGCATCCAAATTAGGGTACTTCCCGCAGAAATTTCCTCTCACTTCCTTCAGGGGCAGTCCCTTCCAAGAGAAGATGACTGCGGGAGACAGCCCTCAGCTGGTCCCAGCCGACCAGGTGAACATGACCGAATTTTACAACAAGTCTCTCTCCTCCTACAAGGAGAATGACAACATCCAGTGTGGGGAGAACTTCATGGACATGGAGTGCTTCATGATCCTGAACCCCAGCCAGCAGCTGGCCATCGCCGTGCTGTCCCTCACGCTGGGCACCTTCACGGTTCTGGAGAACCTGCTGGTGCTGTGCGTCATCCTGCACTCCCGCAGCCTCCGCTGCCGGCCCTCCTACCACTTCATCGGCAGCCTGGCTGTGGCAGACCTCTTGGGCAGCGTCATCTTCGTCTACAGCTTCGTGGACTTCCACGTGTTCCACCGCAAGGATAGCCCCAATGTGTTTCTGTTCAAACTGGGCGGCGTCACGGCCTCCTTCACGGCCTCGGTCGGCAGCCTGTTCCTCACGGCCATCGACAGGTACATCTCGATCCACAGGCCCCTGGCCTACAAGAGGATCGTCACCAGGCCCAAGGCCGTGGTGGCCTTCTGCCTGATGTGGACCATCGCCATTGTGATCGCCGTGCTGCCCCTCCTGGGCTGGAACTGCAAGAAGCTGCAATCCGTTTGCTCGGACATTTTCCCGCTCATCGACGAGACCTACCTGATGTTCTGGATCGGGGTCACCAGCGTGCTGCTGCTGTTCATCGTGTACGCCTACATGTACATCCTCTGGAAGGCGCACAGCCACGCGGTCCGCATGATCCAGCGCGGCACCCAGAAGAGCATCATCATCCACACGTCGGAGGACGGCAAGGTGCAGGTGACCCGGCCGGACCAAACCCGCATGGACATCCGGCTGGCCAAGACCCTGGTCCTGATCCTCGTGGTTCTGATCATCTGCTGGGGCCCTCTGCTTGCCATCATGGTGTACGATCTCTTCGGGAAGATGAACAAGCTGGTGAAGACGGTGTTCGCCTTCTGCAGTATGCTCTGCCTGCTGAATTCCACCGTGAACCCCATCATCTACGCCCTGAGGAGCAAGGACCTGAGGCACGCGTTCCGGAGCATGTTCCCCTCGTGTGAAGGCACCGCGCAGCCCCTCGACAACAGCATGGGTGACTCAGACTGCCTGCACAAGCACGCCAACAACACAGCCAGCGTCCACAGGGCCACCGAGAGCTGCATCAAGAGCACCGTCAAGATCGCCAAGGTGACCATGTCTGTGTCTACCGACACGTCCGCCGAGGCTGTGTGAGCCTGACGCCCCCGGGGCAACGCGGGAAAAGAAATCCGTGTTTCTGTTTCTGTTTTTACAGCTGAAGATCTAGAAGAGTCTGTCGTCCCACCGGTTATATTTTTTTAAGTTTATCATGCTCACTGAAAAAAAGTGATTGTTCCCGTGATCGGTTGTCTGTTCGCTGATGTTTTTTGATCGTGTAGATTCTCAAACTCAGTTCTCTCCAGGGATTTACAGTGAAGAAAGCCTATTGCTTAAGTGACTGGAAGGTCCAAAGTTCCAGCGAAACAGGAGGGAAACCTTGTGCTCCACAATTTGCAGTCCAAGTACCACTGGAACAATGCCATGCAATGAGTAATGCCTTTGTAACCACCACTTTCATTATAATGTGAAATGTATGTGTCCATCAGTGGCAGAGCTGTCCATTTTTACCACAGTTATATAGTACTAAAGTAGAGCTATTTTGTAAAATGTCTCGTGTCCCGTGAAATGTGTATCCGTGTTTACTGTGTGTTGTTTGTATTTGTCTAGTTCAGCAAAATTGAAAAGTAGCATTTTATGAAAACAGTGGACTATAAGTAGGGGGTACATGCCAATGAGATCACTTTTTTTTTTTTTTTAAGAGTATTGCCCATGATGTAACTCTAGAAACCTTAATATTTTTTCAAACATCTCTATTTAAAATTGACATTGGAAATAATGATAAAGATTGTTGGGTTTTTGTTTTTTTCTTCTTCTTCTGTTAATACAACAAGAAGATTTGGAAGACTCTCCAAAGTATTGAGCAGAAGTTAGTGACACTTAAAATTTATTAGCTCTGCATTTTCATACAAGGACATTTATGATCTTCTGGACTAAAGCTATCTCTTGGGTGACAGATTACAATTAGAGTGGGGAGGGGGAGGCATATTGACTTTTTTGGCTGATGTCTCTGACTTTCTTTAGTCTTTAGCTATTACTGGACTTCCTAAGACAGCATGTGTCAACCTTAATGTATATTGTTATCACTGTGCAATTGCTGTTTACTTGAAGAGTATTGTATTCTTATATTCCAGGTTTAAGTAGATTTTATGCCTGGGTGGCCAAACAACAGTCTTCATTTCTTTTTCTTAATTGAAAAGAAGTATTGTCTGGATCAGTGAAATTATACTGTGTGTGAGTGTGAATATAAATGTGTGTGGTGTTTCTACCCTGTAACTGTTACCGTAATGTCATAAAGTGAGAAAACTGTGACCAAGTGTAAACTGTATCACTTGCTGCACTCGTGTACATGAATTCAGTTTCTAAAATCAAGTTCATTCAGATAATCTTGTTGATAAAAATATTGACCATGAGCATTCAGAACCCTCCCCTCTCTCCCTCACCCTACCCCTCCTTTTAAGAGGCTGGGTCAAGTATTACTAAATGGATCTTCAGGTATTTCCTAAGACCAGTGTTCAGCAAGGAAAAATCAGTAATGAGCATTTAAGTGAAGGCCTGTATTTACCGTGTTAATAGCAGGAAATGAGAGTGTTTTGGTTTCTGAGCACCTAATCTGAATCAAGTCCATGGAGATGTAAGTCATTATAAGGGGCGTGGCTCTAAAAACCCTTCAGTGCTAACATTCTTTGGTTGTGCTTGTAGGGAGTGCGATCCCGGCTTAAGTAGCATCATACACAGCTTGCTGGAAGTGAGACCACCAGGTCCAGCCCATGTGGCTAAGGAGCCCATCAGACAGTGAGCGGTGGGTGAGAACGAAAAGGGCAGTGAGGAGCTGACACACTCGTGGCAGAGGCCTGGATGACATAGGGCTGCTCTGTGCTTCACCCAGACGCCCGTGGGGACAGCCCAGCACCCAACTGGTTTGGGTTAAGGAATAAGACCTCTTCTCCGGTCCTGATAACCAAGATCTGCTACCGCGTAAGGATGAGCTGCCTTTCCTCCCATGCCCTGGCCCGCTACTCCTTAATGGTGCTCAGAGTCAGGCCCTTTCCCAGCAAGCTTAAGAAATTGATATTGCTTAAGAAACCACTTGACTGGCAAACGTATAATCTCCTCTTGATGCAAAGAACGGCACCTGCAGGATCCAGAGGCCAGCGTAGCATGAAGTGAAGTGGAGAGCTAGTGTTTTTGGTGATTTTTTAGGTGTTCAGATACCTGTGCAGCCTGGTGGGGTCTTGTTGCAGTGTATGGCCTGAGGCTGAATGTGGCCTGTGGACCAAGCTGAGATACTTTCAATCATCTGTGTACATAGCGCACATCCACCCGCTGGTTCCCTTGCTTGATCTCTCTGTGATATGCAGACGAGGGCTCAGGTTGCTAGAGCATTAATAAGATCTCTTCAGAAGAAGGAGAAAAGATTCTTTATGAGAAAAACTCACCAGGGTCTAGTTTTCATTTAAGAAATGCCACTCTTTTGTCCCACATCAGCCTGAATATTAATCTACATGTCTTAGAGCTCACCAGACAGTACAAACTTTTCTTCCTCACAGCTATGAAGACATGGTAAAAGTGAAATTTTACTTACTGGTAAAAAAAACAACAACAACAATATAAAAAAAAAACCTCCAGGATTCATTTTTGAAACTGTATTTGTGTGTGTGCAATGTAGATTTTATAGTGTGTTGTACTTTCAAGATCTAAATCATATATAATTAATGAAGGGACCATGGGGCTGACAGCACTAAACTTGGTGCTCATTGATATTCTAAGAAATATCTGTGAAATATCATCACGTATGCATTATACCTCCTTTATTTTAAAACAAATTAGTTTGATTCCCTTTGACACTTTTAATATCGTTTCCTACCCAGCTTACTCAGATGTTCTCTCATGAATATACTCATTAGAGTTACCATTTATTAGTATCATGCATTAATTAGTTCTTTCATTAGACCCGTTAATTTAAATATAATTTAGATTTCAGTAAATGTTTAAAGGTCCAACTTCAGAGTTGTCTGCTTTCCTCTGAGAAGAATACATTTGTCCTGACCATGCATGCCACCGTCACGTGTGTCTTCAGAAAGGGCCAGCTTTCCACCTGCTCCCTTTCTCCCGAGTCATGATGAACCTTTCAGTCCTACACTCAGAGTGTCTTTTCTTTGCATGGGGCTCTTAGAGATATGGGCAGACTTGCTTATTTAGTGGCTAGTCCATGTCAGGAGTATACATACATGTGTTCTGAACCAGCTCAGACTCGCCACAGTACGCAGCGTTGTGGCTAGCAGAAGAGAAAGAGCAGTTGTTTGTGGAGAAGGAGAGCTGTTCCCAAGAACCTCTAGTCTTTCATTATCTGAAATACATATAAAAGGAGCACGGATCCGGGAAAAGCTGACGACATATGCCTACGCTTGAGATGATTCCCCAGCCTCCCCATGCATCACTTTGAGTCAAGCCTATCTGGCGTCAGGTGTCAAGGCATTTTGGCCACCTGCACTCAGTCTACCCCGACATGGGAATTAGAGCCTGGGTGAGTAGCATCCCAGTTAGTGCCCTGATGATTCATTTCTGCCATTCCATGTCTGTAAAAGAGACCACCAATATCATGCGCAAAATTAGATTTCTCACAATCTAACTGTATATTTGTATGATATTTTAAAATCTCCTAAATGCTGGGCAATGGCTATTAACAAATGTCTTGCACTGGCCTTTTGATGAAATGTTAACAATGCCTATTGTAATATAGACAAAACATTTTATCTACTGATTTGGGCTGAATGTATGTAAATAGGTCTTTAAAAAAAAAGTCGAATGTTGAAGCAGTGGCCTACAAATCAGTAATTTTCAGATAGAAGATTTTTTTTCCTTTGCTGTGGCATCCTAAAAGCTGTCTGCACGTAAATTTAGTGCACTAGGCCTGCTGGGGATTGGAGTCCCCAGGAAAGGAAACCCTTTCTTGTAATAATATAAATGAAGATACTAGATCATCTGGATTCTTCCAACGTTTCAAGTGGAAAACAATTCTTTATTGTCTGTAAATCTAACATTATTACTTTTCCTCTTAGAAAAATATTGTACTGTTAGATGTTTGTTGAGCTGGTAACATCCTTGCAACTGCTGCAGTTCCTTTGTTAGTAACATGTATAATATTTTGTACACAAGTACCAGTAAGGTTGTTATTCACTGTAGCTTCAGTCATTAAATTACTATAGCAAAGTAGTACTCCTGTAATATTTACAATGTATTAAGCCCACACTCTATTTTATTTCAGTGATATAATTACATTGTTATTTACAAAGTTGTTAATTACAAAGGAAAACATCCCATCATGTCGATTGTCCAAAGTTACCTGGAATCAAATAAAAATTCTAGATTATCATGAAGGACATAAAATATCTTTGTATTCTGCCTTATTTCACAGTCTGGTGTTAAAACATTCAAGATTTGAGTTCTAAAAGATTATTTAAAACAAACAAACTGATTAACAATTCCCCCAAAGCACAACTTGATTTGAGAAATGGAGACAGATTGGATTAATATATTCATTTGTAACATGGGAAAAACATGGAAAAGCCATCATACATAAGAAGGAAGAAAGCCTGCCATGCCTTTTTAAAGCATTATTTCATCAAAGAGTTGGAGGATAGTGCAGTAAGTTAAACACATGTACTGTTCAAATGTGTAAACCAAATTAAAATTTGGCAGATTTATTAGAACATATGTCTAAAGTATTTTATAAAATCATACATTCTGAACTAGGTGAAAGAGACTACTTTTCAATGTAATTGTGAAAACACAATATTTATTTGAACAATAAGAGAAAATAGTTTAAATACCTTATAATGAAGTAAAAAAGCATTATAATTAAGTTTATACATTATAACCATCTAAAGAATGTTTGCAGTCAATTTTGAAAGAAGACTTTTAATTTTCAAATAAGGAATTGGTAAATATTAAAAATCGATTATTTTTATTTTATATGTACATTCCATTTTTAATTTTATTTTTAAAATTTAATAAAATTGTTTAAGTTTCCCTTCTTTAAGGTAAATACTACAGTAACTACATAAGCTGATATGTGTCTAATGAAAAGCAGATGA